TCCCGGTACTTTTCTCAAGCTCTCAGCTTTCAATTGTAACTCTTATATCACAGACTTAACCGTCTGCTTAACACAGAGACTTCAGGACAAAACTCATATATTAACTGCTTTTAACACAGCACACTCTACTCTCTCTAACTGTTTTACTCAACTGTCATACCTAACAGACACACCCTTCAACTGACCCTCTTGACTGACATATTGGTTCATCCACACAGCATCCATTCCAAAACCCCTCCCCCTCTCTGTCCCTCCCCAATCATACCACTTGCCTGCTTCCAGCACTCTAGATTCCTCACACAGCTATGCCAACCAAACTTTAAACACACACACAGACAGAAAAACATGGAATCGTTACAGGCCCGTATATGTTTTTTTAATTCTTTACAAATAAATACATGTATTTTTATATATTATATATATTAAGTTTCAATTGTTGGCCCTCTACTCTGTTTGACTTACCTTTTTAAGGTTCTTGATCCTAGATTTCAGGGTTAAGTTTGTTTCCCTTTTTTGTTCACAGTCTATTATGCACCCTCCAGCCATAAACCTGGAAGCCACAATGAAAAACCTCATGGTTCCCACTGTCACACTTTGACCTTTCTTATATAGTGTTATAAAGTTATAATGTAATCGTAATAAGAGTTACACTGACTTTAACAGAACAAAGTTTGAGTCCAGTGGCACCTTTAAGACCAACAAAGTTTTATTATTTGTTGGTCTTAAAGGTGCATAGTGGTGCTGTTTATCTAAATTACAACCAAACAACTTCTTTGCATTGATTGGATCAGCATTAGGAATGTATATTTTGTTTTATAAAGCAACTGTTTAAACTATCAACATTTTACATCATTTAAAGATTTAAACATTAATGAGCTCAAAATTTAGCCTACATACATATTATTACATATTATTAGCTCCACTATGGATTTTTATTAAGAATATTAACGTGGTAACATGTTCTGGTGTCAGTCTTTGTGTGCAGATGATTCATAGGAAGACTAATATTGGCAAATACACAGATGATGTTCACTCTCCAAGACTTGGAAAATGTTAACATGTTTACAGCAATATATAAATGGGAAACAAATTTTATCATTAACTCATTTAAACGCTTAATATTGTTACCTCCCTAGTCCAGGGGTGTCAAACATGCGGCCCGGGGGCCGGATCAGGCCCCTGGAGGGCTTCTATCAGGCCCGCAGTGGAACGACCACTGGATACTCACCATGAAGGGTCCTTCTCCTCTGAGGTCTGGAGGACATCTTGTGGGTAATTCCCATCCATCATCAGGGATCAACTTCTTCCTGTTTCCTTTGGTGGGAGTCACCCTTGGCTCAGTTCTGGTGCTCCGAAAGCAATATACTAGATTAACTATATTACAGGAAGGAACCTAAACATTATTATAACATTAACTGTAAAAGGCAGAAGAGAAAAATGGTAAGAACTCTCAGTGCAACAAAGATAGATTGTGCGTTCTCTTCTCACAGATTTCATACTGTGCACCTTATCTCCGCCTCTCTCTCTTTCTCTCTCTCTCTCTCTCTGAAAGACTTTCTTTGTGTGGTGCGCCCGTGTGCAGTCAGCCGTCTGCGGAAGAGATGACAACCCGGGAGGGCCAAGATGTCCTCTAGACCTCAGAGAAGAAGGACCCTTCACAGTGAGTATCCAATGGTCGTTCTCCCTCTGAGGTGGAGGCCATCTTGTGGGACCTCCCAGAGCAGTGTTCCCTAAAAACCGGGTGGGTGGTCGTCATCTGCAGACAGAACCGACTGCAGAATGCGTCGACCAAAGGCCGCATTCGCAAAATCATATAGATTGATTTTATAGTGCCTGATGAAGGTGGATAACGAGGACCACGTAGCGGCCCTGCAAACCTCCTCCACAGAAGCTCTATTTGCGAAGGCTGCAGAAGTGGCTGCGCTGCGTAACGAATGGGCCGTGATGCCCTTGGGAACTTTGATGTTCAGGCTCTTTGATGTGCACGATCTGATAGTGGCGCTTATAGCTGATGTAGACATCTTTTTGCCCGTATGGGGAGGAGAAATATTGATGAACATAGCCTCTGTTCATCTAGGAGGTGCTGTCCTAGATATGTAGCACTTGAGTGCTCTCCTCACATCTAAGGCATGCCACAATCTTTCCTTTGCATGTGTGGGATTTGGAAAGAAAGAAGGTAAACTAATTTCCTGGGATCTGTGAAATTTTGTGTTTACTTTAGGACAGAAGGAGGGATCTGTTCGTAGGACAACTTTATCTTTGTGAAAAACACAGAGTTCCTTTTGAACAGACAGAGCTCCCAGCTCAGAGATCCTCCTGGCTGAGGTAATGGCCACCAAGAACAGGGTCTTCATCTATAGGAATTTTAAGGAGACATCTCTCAAAGGTTCGAATGGTCCCCTTGTTAATGCAGAAAGGACTGTGTTAAGTCTCCATGTGGGAAACCCGTGTTTCTGTGGTGGGTCCTTGAATGACGCTCCCTTTAGAAAACGCCGGATGTGAGGGTGTTGAGAAATAGGTAAGCCCCCATACCGGAGAAGGACAGAGGCCAACGCTGCCATCTGCTGCCTGAGAGTGGTAGCCCACAGACCACTGGTCTGACCGTCCTGGAGAAACTCTAGAATGGATTGCACCTTGGGATGGAGCGGATCGACCTTCTTCCTCCTGGACCACCAGACGAAGGCTTTCCATGTAACATTGTAGATCCGAAATGTGGAAGGCTTCCTGGAAGCCATCATCGTCTGTACGACCGGCTCACTGTAGCCTAGTTTCCTGAGCTTGACCCTTTCAACTTCAATGCGGTCAAGCAGAACCATCCTGGATTGGGGTGACAAATTGGGCCCTGCAGAAGCATGTCTTCTGACACTGGAAGGACGAATGGAGGAGCTACCGCCATCTCCTGGAGGAATGTGAACCACGGCCAACGAGGCCAATAAGGTGCCACCACAATGACCTCTGCTTTGAGTGTCTTTATCTGTCGAAGTAGTCTGGGGAGCACAGGCAGAGGGGGAAATGTGTATAGCAGTTCCGCAGGCCAGGGAGACAGAAGAGCGTCCGTCTGTTCTGCTGAAGGATGAGAGAACCTGGTATAGAACCTGTCCAATTGGTTGTTGCTTGGGGAGGCAAACAGATCCACATGAGGAGTTCCGAATCTGGACTGGATCATCTGGAAAAGGCTCTTGTGCAGAGACCACTCGCTCTCCTGAATTGACTGGCGACTCAACCAATCCACCTGTGTGTTGACAGAGCCTTTGATGTGCTCTGCCCGAATTGAGTTCAGGTTGCTCTCCGCCCACTTCAGCAAAAGAGTCGCTTCCCAATGTAGGGCCAAGGATCTGAAGCCCCCCTGTTTGGGATGAGGAAAATCAGTGGGATACGGTGATTCCCGGTTATATATTATATCGGAAGGATAGGGAGGGAAGGGTTGGAGGTGGGGTGGCTCTGTATGTCAGAGAGGGTATAAAGTCCAGAAAGATTGAGAGGGTAAGAGAATTGGATTCGCTTCTTGAAGTTCTGTGGGTTGAAATAGGGGGGCCAAAAGGAAACTTAACACTGGGAGTTTGTTATCGCCCACCGGATCAAAAGATAGAGGAGGATTATAAAATGATGAATGAATTAAAGATAGCAGCTAGACAAAAACACGGTGTCGTAATAGGTGATTTTAACTACCCACACATTGATTGGGTCAATATGTGTTCTAGTCGAGAGAAAGAGATTGAGTTTCTAGACACTCTAAATGACTGTGCTATGGAGCAGATGGTCATGGAACCTACCAGGGGAGAGGCGATCCTTGATTTGGTCCTAAGTAACACTCAAGACCTGGTGAGAGATGTAAAAGTGATTGCACCGCTTGGGAACAGTGATCATAATGTTGTTGAGTTCAACATTTGTACAAATAGGGAATTGGCCAA